AATTCCAATTATAGAATTTGTAAATCTTTCTATATATAATATATAATAGAAAAATAAATCCGAAATCATAAATTCAATCGATAATTCTTAAAATACGTATATTATTCATATTAAATAAAATTTCTAATCTTGGTCAATATTATGAAGAAATATTCAAGTCTTGTTTTCGAAATTTCTATCCTCTTAATAATTAAAGAAGAATTATTTATTTCCATAAATCTTTTTTTATAATTTTATTATTCAATATCTTATTCGAAATTATGAAAGTCTAAAAAAAATATTTCTAAAATAATATTTAATATGATTTCATCAAAAATAAATTATATATTGAGAAATAATAAATTATAGTAATTAAAAGCATTAGCAAGAATTATTTTAAATATTTTAAATTTATCTTTATGAAAATATCTCTAGATATTAAGCTATCTGCACATCGAAATACTTGTTTGTATCTGAAAAACTTGTGCAACTGTAATGAATCACGTAATGGAATGGAAATCCTTGCTTGAAAGACGCAAAGAAAGTTGAGGCGGATGCAATCAAAGAATCAGATAGCCAATACAGCCATTTCAACAAGATTCATTCTGCAGCAGAGGCATCCAAAAGGAATTTTTCCGCCGCATGCAAATTTCGAAAGGAATCTAGCGATGTATCTGCCCACTGTACCTCCACACCAGGCATAGCCTTAGAACATGAGCCGATTTTACGCAGCAGCACAGCATCTTACTCCACATGGCCTGCGCCCCTAAAGCAAAACCGTCCAAGATTCTGCTTTCCATCTCCGCAGTGCTTCCTCGTTCACAGCCGGCTTTTCCTGACTCTGCCAGTGTGAGAGCTTCAATCACGACGCGTTGTGCCAGCCTCGCGTGCGTCTTCGCGACAAGCTGCGCTCGCCATTTGCTGTAGCTCTCTCTGCTCCTTGGATGTGGCGACATGTGGCGACATCACATTGCATTGGAGTCGTGGGGCCATGGCCTTGGCGCTTAGCGCATTCGTTGCTGGGGAGTCATGCCACAGCCTGGCAGGCACTGCACCAAAAGACCGAGGAGGGGCAGCAGCTCTTCTGCCTAGTCCAGTGTTCGGACTCTTCTGAAACGTCCTGTTTGGCAAGCTCCACATGCAGAAGCAATCCACCTGCGCAAAAGTTGAATCCCGAATCCAGGCACGAATTGCCACATCGATCACGGAGCATGACAGGCGCACCTTCTTCCAGCTGCCAGCTGCTTTCATCTGGCTTCACCTGAGGGCGCACGGACGTGTGTGTAGGCTAGATCGGTGCCTTCTAGATTCTAGATACTTGACTCTGTTTGCACAGCAAGATACCGATTTGTGCAGGCATCCGTCTGCATGAAGCCTCGGCCAGCACTTTCTGCAAAAACCCGCGCTCACACTACAACATCCGAAGTCCAAAGCTTCTTTAAGTCAGAGCACATGCTTTGGCCCTCTGCAGACTGGAGTTGGATGTGCAATTTTCGGGAAGTAATCTGTCAAGCCACGTCTAGCCAAGCAGGACAAGTTTTGAACAGAGTTCTCAGACGGCCTCGCAAGTAATGCTCGCCTTCGACAATCCTTGGAGCTTCAGTCTGTTCCACGTGGTGCAACTAGCATCCTGGGCAGCAGGCTTCTTCCTTGAGCCGGCATGAAGACATGGAGGATGGAGTCGCTTTGACCCCAGGCCTGCGACTTCACTTTCACAGAAGCCCGTGGCCAAAGAGTGGCAGAAAGCTGAAGGGAGTTCCTTTTTTCGAGTACTGTTGCTAAGAATCGAAATAAAAGTCGTCGCACTCGTCTCACAGCACGTGCCCCCCCGTCGTAGGAGCCGGGCATAGCCATGATCATCCACGCAATCACTTCCGCGATCAAGAAGACTTGCTGGAACAAGTTGCTCCAGTATCTGTTCAGAAATCAAGCACGCCAAGCATAAGCCACCATTGGCCAGGAACGTGCCTGTCTAGGAGGAGGAATCTCCCTCTTGGACTCAAGCACTTCTAGCCGACGAGTCACTCGCTTGACCTTGAACCATCATGATCCACACACATGTCGGCAACGACCCCTGTGACCGCTGTCCAGCAGAATTTCTGCACATGTTGGATCGGCAAGCAGCTTCATTTGCGATCTGAGCATTGGCAGGCCTCGGCTTGTGCATTCTTGGGAGGTGGTCTGTTCGTCCAAGCTCCGAGCACTCCCAGCAGAGTCGAGGCAAATAAGACAGAGACTCCTGTTGCTGGGCTTGCAGGAGGTCGGCCAAGGCCTTCCTTATCGCCTCGTGTCTCGTGTCAATCAGCATGTCACCATGTCTCCAACTCCAAATGCTCGGTGTCGGGCATCTTCTGGCAAGCCCTCGCGATTGTCCTGCTCAACTCCAAAGCACAAACAACTCCATCTTGTCAGCACAGCATCCTCCAAGAATGCTTGAGCACGACGAAATCTCGCTTTGACCTAGGCTCAGCCTAGCCAACCGTTGCGGCGCCGTGCTCAGTATCAACGAAGGTGAGTTTCGAGCATGCTCTGGGTTGAATGCAAGCGCGATGTCAGCTGCTGCTTTCGCATGAGTCCATTGAGGTGGCACCTCGGCCCCACGAAAAAATCGATCAGCGCAGGTGCGTTCTGAACCACGGGGCGGTGTACCTCCTGCAAATACACAGCAGCCAGATTGGAGTGCAGGGCACACCTGGGTCACAACATGCCGAGAACTCATAAGTGTCAGGACAAGTAGGAGCGTGGCAAAACGCGCTCGGAAAGGTTGCAAAGAAATGATTTTTGGCTGCAATCACAATACAGTGTGTTTTTGATTGACCTGCATGACCGATGAGGTATGTTGATAATGGCAGTTGAGAGTGATGCAGGCTGACAGCCCCCAAGCAAGGTCTGCCAAACCTGATGCCTTCAAGGCTGTACAAGAAGACATGCCACTGTGAACCGAAAGGATTGGCGTCTGACGAGCTGCAGGGCAAAACGCCTCGTAAGCAGACACACCAGAACGATTTACATACTGCCGACGCCGCCACAACGGGCCAGGAGTCCAGCCCACTATTGAGTGCCGAACACCTAATCTGCGTCGCCGCCACAACGGGCGCTACTCTTGTGCGTAAAGCCACTTGTGCGCGAAAAATGCGTCACAATAGCTCTTAACTCGCGGGATAGCTGCTGCTTCAACCAAGGCTGCGCCAAGCTCAGCATGCTCAGCGAAGCTCCATCGTTGGTTCACTGCTTGAGAGCAGGGCAGCCACTGCCGGAATGTTGCGGGCCAGCATCTGGGACGCATCTTGAGTCTAGAGATGTCTAGAGCCTTCGCTGCTCTGGCATGCCACTGGGCCTCGGCATCCACTTCAGGGCGCTGCAGCAGAGTCTTCGCCACGTAGAAGCCGTAGCGGGCTTGTGCCAGCTCGGCGACCTCGCACGAACAGACCCGAGGAGCGGGGCAGGGCGTTGATCATTGCACCACAGCACAAGACTTTTGACATGAAGAGCAAGCAAGTATGCACATGACCAAAGTGTGATCGCAGAGATAACACACTGACAGCATCAACTGTCAGTCGATGTGAACGACAGTGGAATGCGTGTCTTCGCGTAAAGGGTCAAAGCAATGGCCACGTACTTCCATGTCGCCAGAAACCACGGCATCTGCAACTCTGATGTCTTTGATTCCAGTCTTCTGACTCGTTGTTGCTTTACCTGAAGTCCCGCGTGCACGCTGTCGGAGAGGCTGGGGCTCGGGCCATGTTTGGATGAGACAGCTGCTGCAGCAAAGCTTGTTGGTCCTGACTATGCTATGGCTACGGCTTTTCTTGCCTGATGCTGTATGACGACCAACGCATGCTATCGCCATCGCATCCACAGGCACACATACTTAATACAAAGGCCCCAGGTCACCGAACCCCTGCACTGCAAGTTCTTGCTCTGAGAAAGATCGAGTTTCACGATGCATCAGAGACTGTGAGCATCTTCGGCAGTGATCCAACAGACTCTGTCACTGACCTCTTCGCAACTACACACATCACAGGCATTCATTCTAAGGTCTGCCCCAAGAAACAGGGCTTGACAAGCACGCGCACGCCTTCTCCGAGCAGTGCGACAGAGCGGACTCCACGACATAGCTGGCCTTGGGGTTGGGGTTTTGGGGGCCCACAGGATCCACAGGTGTGAGCCGGAGAAGCGGAGAAGCTGAGGCACAGGCACTGCGATGAGAAGCGTTTGCAAGCAGGTCGTGACGAAGGACCTCCGCGATCAGCTCTTTGTACCTGGCAGGGTAGTGATAACGAGTGTGATAACGTGCCAGTACAGTGTATGGTTGCCAGGCTGGCCTGACATCTCCGTGCTCCAGTATGGACTGAACCACATTGACATGATGTCCGAAGTTGTGACGGCAAAGGTCCAAAGCCTGCGAAAGTCCAAAGCTGAGACATGGCCGAGGACACGAACGGACACGATGCCTCCGCGGGATCCTCCAGCACCTCGTCGATCAGTCGGAGAGTCCCCTCCTCAGCTCTTCGGCTTCGCATAATAGCACATACGAGTAGCTGCAAATGGCTCACAGCTGCAAGGGCTCCTGAGAGGAGCAGTGCTCCAAGAGGCGACAAATAATTCGGCAACCGAAGCGATGCCTGGCCTCGAACCCAAGATAGAGGCGAAACAGGCGCAACGTGAGCCCTTTGCTCGTGCTCAGGCGAGTTGTTGGTGCTTTGCTTGAGGCTTCGGCGAATCGAGCGGCGTTGCCCAAGAGCTCTTCCCCGATGAATGCCGAGGTTGCTGGACTCAGCTGGGTGATGACCTGTGCGACTCCGATGCTTTCGGGCCTTCGTCTGCACCGTTGGACATGGAAGCAGCCCCTCGCCTTCTGGACCACGTAGTTGGCATGAGGAGAAACAGCAGCCTCTCTCACATGCCCATGTAGCTCAGCGGCCAAGTCCTGGAATGGGTCACCAGTGGTCATCAGGTCACATGACACCGAAGTATCCAAGCTCTCCTTGGCAACACCATTGCTGGCCTTCTCCATGGCCAGTTGCACCTAGGCTTGAAATCCTAAACTCACGTCAGCAGACAAGGCGGCAACAGTCGGCTCAGTGTTGCCCTCTCTGGTCAACATGAGGAGAGCTTCCACGCGGCATCCATTTGCATCACGAGACAGCGGCCATACCTTGCTGCCGAAGTCTCAGGAGACAGGAAAATAAATACCAGGTTTCACCAACACCTACTAGGAATCGTGCACGAGAAAATTCAGCTCAGACTGCACATGTCCGTGCATCCTGGCCACCTTATCAGAGATCTCAGACATGGCCAGTGCCAGGCCCTCATGTCCGGCCTGAACAAGGTTCAGGATTCGGAACGTGTCGGTGAACTGTTCACGTCATGGCCTGCAGCTGCTGACGCAGATCGTCGCAGCGCTCTTTGGAAAGCAAGGAGCTTTCCTCGCTAGACCGAAGGAGCAAATGTGCGGACAACTTCCCACTGCATGGCCTCTCCGCAGCCACGAGCCGAGCTCTGAATCATCCCTGGTGCCTGGCGGCACGTCAATAGCTTCAAGCAAGTCCAGCTTTCGTGACTTGTGCGAGGGTGAGTGCGAGCAAATTCGAGCCTTTGGCTGTGCGGTGCGCATGCGCCGGCGTCGCCGCGCGTGTCCACGTGCTTCCTCACGGGTGCAGAATGGAGAGGTTTGTCTGCTCGTCCATGTAATCAGGCATCCTCATCCTCCATGAGCGAACCAAATTCGTATCCTCCAGCCTGCACGAGCATGTTCTCATAAGCACTCCTTACGTCGGATTATCCTTCAGCCAGGTTACCATGTCGGTGTAGGGGTCATAGCCAAAGTTGCCATTCCTTGGCCGTTCAAGACGAGCCAATAGCCGTCTGGGGCTCGGATGCACCAGGAGCCCGGCTCCATTGGCCCCATCTCGGGAGAGTTTGGAGCGTATGCCCAGGAACCAGTGTAGTCCTGACTGGGGGCGGCCACAGGAACTGCCTCGCGAGTGCGGAGTTTGTCGGAACTTGAACTCTTCTGAGACAGTTTCCGCCTGTGCTTGCCCTGGCATGACAGGCCCGGATGCGTTCACGATGACGGGCACCTGGGTGTTGCATCCGAAGAAATGCCAGGGGCGGGCAAATCACGAAGCTCATATCTCAGGCCGCACACCAGCATCGTCACATACGGATGGAGAACCTGCACTGTAGCTACACAGTGCCGGTATAGCCTGCAGACATCATGTCTGTGGTGGCCTGCATCACAGGCTGATTGGAAGTAACCTCCTTGGATGCCACGATGATGAACAGTTGTGGTCCATGTTGCTCGGGATAATCGGCCGGTCCTGCATGACGAATGGCTGATGGGGCTCCGCAACGGCAATGACTTCACACCTTGCACTCCGAATCAAGCTCCATGGCTCCCATCATGTTCAATGTCTGAGCTGCGGACGCCATGCTGACTTCTCGGCTGTCTCCAAGCGAGTAAGATCGGGAGTGTGGACTTCACGATAGTTTGAATTGCAATGGCTGCAATATTCCCTTGTGATCCAACGGCCTGGTGTCCTACTGTCACAGCAGAACTTGCCACTCTCAACTGGGATGAAAAGGATCGAACCCCAGCGCGAGATTGCTGGCATTCGCTTTTGCATTCCCGACTCTCTGGATAGCCTGCGAATGTCAAGAGGCGCGCGGGATGTTTGCCAATACCACTCCTTCGAGGGCATGAGGATGCGTGAGGCCTGGATGTAGTAGGACTTGGCTTCGCTGAGATACTGGGTTGAAGCGGTCGTTCGCCTGGCGAACCCTAGATACTCACGGCAAAGCTGCCAGTGCTAGAAGAAGCGGCAGTGGCTCTTCAAAAGTGCAGCGCGCTTGAAGGCCAGATTTCCCTGCCAGGCTGAAGTGTTTAGCTGTTGACTGCACTTGAAGCTACGGGCGACATCGAAAAATGTCAGGAGCACCGAGCATGAGCCCAACCTGCTCTTTCAGTTCTTCAATGGACAGAGCTTCGCTTGTGGACGGAGGAGCCTTAAATCTTTCGCTCAGACACAGAGCCGACAAAAACACAAGTGGCTGCTATGGACCCTGCAGGATTTAATCCAGCGGGAGGGACGCTGCCCGACGTCATGGACACGTGCTCTCTGTCTGCTTGCTGAAGCTGGAACCCTGAACCTGGGTTTAGGGTCTAGAGAGTCTGGGGTCTAGAGGCCCGGACCCTCCTTGTACCTTGTGGCTATTTAAGGGTCCAATAGAGGGTAGATGGAGGGTCTAGGTGGTTTATAGCTTCTTTTGCTTTATTGGTGTTCGTGGCGTTTTGACTACGTCGCCAAGCTCAGGGCGCATCCGTATTCAGATGCTGCCTTGAGCCTGCAATGGTTGCTACAGTACAGGCTTCACGGTTTTTCTTTCAACCGGGGATGATCATGGTGGTGACAGGGCGATTGGGCGGGTGGTCGTGCTGCTCACGGTGGTGAGGATCCTCACAACACCGACAAAAACGAGGATGCGCTGCGATCTCGGAGGCAAGCTTCAACTGCGGTGCACGAGGTTCAGCAAGGCTTCCGGCTCCATGGGTGCTGTGCTTTTTGCAGCAAGGTCCCAGGTGTTCCTCCTCTTCAGACAGTGACCGAGAATATTGGCAGCATTGTGGACTCAGCCACGCACAAATCATCTGCTGCATCATCAAGGAGCAAGCCATGACAAAGCAACAATAGTCGATCCTTCTTGCTTTCCCACTCAGCCTGTCTCTTCGGTGCTGTCAGCACTGTCTTGACTTAGACACGCACAAATCCGAGCATGCATCATCGTGGGATTGCCACATGACGCCGCACATCAGAAATGCGTTGTTGAACGGCCGGTGTTCTTCACGCACATGCGCTACTCCCGATCGTGAGCTACATGTATACCATCATATCAGGAATTGGAAACGGTTCCATGCCAGGCGTAGGAATCAACATTGAACGATTTGGGGCATCCTGAAGCTGTGTGGAGGATGTGTGCGGGCCGTGTTCGGAACAAGGGACCGCCCAACAGTCGAGAACAGTCGGGGGGTCAAGCCAGGAACAGCCGACGTCTACTTAGGAACACGCATAGGTTGTCAAGAATAGCACTATGGGGGGGGGGGGGGGGGGGG